TCATTTTTCAGTGGACCAATAAATGCATTTGACAGGAAAATAGAAAAACTCTACCACAACAGCAATTAGAACAGCTTGCTGCATTATAAGTATCACTTCCCTGTCAAATTAGTGGTTCATGCTTATTTGAATCTGAACATAACAGGCCAATTCTATCACACCTTGCTAGGCTTGAACTTCCATCCAATCAGAGCATTCCAAATGAACATGATTCTCCACAAAACTAGAGGGCGCTCTGACCAAAAAATTGCCATGATCTAAATAAAAAGAACTGATATATATATATATATATATATATATATATATATATATATATATATATATTTCAATTTTGTGTAACTGATCTTCTACTTGTGCGTGATGGATAAACAAAAGTAGTATTTATTTTTCTATATTTATTCATGTGTGTTGTATTCATTTGTTGTAATGATTGTATCATTATTTTATTTGTTGTCAGACATATCTCAAACCACATTCCTACTGCTGAGCTGCAGACCAGCATTGTATGTTTGGGGGAATTGATAAATAAATGGCAGCCAGCGTCAACTTGTTAGTGTATATCTTTTCAATTGAGATAATACGCTTCAGATATTAATTACAACCCAATCTATAACGAATTTCAATTCCTGACGATAATCTTTGTCTGTTTACAATGCTATGTGATTAACCCTAATGTAATCAATTAGGGATGATGGGGCATACATTTTAAAGTAAGTACTTTTAGAACACAGAGACATTGGTGCGTGAATGGAAAGCACATATATTTAGATACTTAGCAACAACCAATTGCACAAGTACAGTCACTGGTTTTAGTTGTAGCATATCAGTATTTTTCGAACAGTTGCATGGTGATTGTCTTTGGAATGTGCTGAAGCAAGTGCTGTTGGCGATGAAAACAAATATGATTTCATTGAGCTTAGGCCCCTATTTTAAATTGGTAGAGCTTGAATAAAAAGTGGTTAATTGCACTGAATTATCATTCTCTATACACTGATTTGACCGCTATTTCTAGACAACCAATCCGGTATATTTCCGTCCCGGCATTGCCTCAGTTGTGGTGATAAAGATTTCACCAATTGATCCCCACCCCTTGAGAGCGGATGAACTGAAAGGGAGAAGACTTATATGATAAGCAGTCAATCAGAGACGTCTATTATTGAACCTACATTGAAGATACGCTCATAGCTCCTGAATTCGGAGTTGCCCCACAAGGCCCTTTCCCGAATTATATGTCAGAATACTAATACATGCACAAATGTACTTTTGGTGATATTTTGGTTAATGTTATAAGAAAATATGCACTAAGCTTGTGTTTTTCAATGTTCATGTGATTTATTTATTAATCTCATAATTAACATTATTACTATGATATTATCTTTGATTATTTTACTGGTGATGACTTCCAACAGGAGATAGACTGGTCCATTCGTTGTTTATTTTATTTTTACCTGCCCCAGGAAACCCCTAGAAAACACAAGTTGATAAAACTGTTATGTATTCATGAAGACAATCACATAAGTACATGTTGTACACATCAAGAGAATTATTGAGTGAATTCATTCCAATTTGTTTGTATTTCATCCTCGTAACATGAATCGTTCATGTACCAAACAATATCAATTGTGAATTTACATTTAGTGAATCTTTCGACTAATCATATTTGTTCTGCAAGGCCAAGTATCCATTATGTCTTTACGCCGATTAGTTTGATTATTCTGCAGCCAACATGTGTCCTCTACTGTTTATATTAAGTAATACAAAATATAATAATTATGCAATGTATCCAGCGTCTCAATATTGTACGAGTTGATGAGAATTGTGTAGGCAATATTGGTCTGGTTATAAATAGGTGAAAGACAATGCTTAGTGACATACTATGCACACTAGGCACAAAAACCACCATAATAACACCTGATTAAGCAGGAAAAAACAATGAGTACAACAACTTTAACTAACAGGCAATGCAAAAGCAACAACCACCCACAAAATATTTGTAACTATGACACATGGATTCTTTGCCAAGCCCCTAAAAAATCAAGTTTACACAAGTGAACAAATTTATAAAAAATAATAGATTCGTTTAGTATGCCACCAATTCCGCATAACAAAATATATCTTCCATAAGCATTATTATGTTAAATAAGCTAGCATTTTGTTTTTAAATTAATGACGTACAAATCACACGATTTCGAATCGGCCAATCAAACACGTCCAGTGAACAGACCAATAATTAAAGAATAAACCAAACTCAACTTCAACATTATTGCTGAAACGAGATTTATAATCAAGAGTTATTTTAGTTACATACTAATGTGTTAAAATAAGTGTGTTAAAATATATATCATATGCCTTTTATGCCAACATAAAACACTGTATCATTGATTCTTTTTCCCAACAAATGGTCGGCAAACTACTTACTCAGGTCATAAGAATCTTCTTCCTGTGTCACGTCATCCTAAGAGAGAAACACAGATGCATTACACAATAGGATGAATATTAATTTTGCGCTTTATTACGTAAATATATTCCGAAGTGTGGAAAATACACACAAAGTAAATTATGAAGTAGTAAGTCAATATAATATTATTACTATTATTTCCTATCATTGTGATTATTGACTTACCGGCAAATTAGGTGCTCGGAAATCATTTACATCTGAAAGTGAAAGTGATTGTAGATCAGAGTAAGTGAAATGTTTAATTAAATTAGAAACAAGAATTGATAAATTTATAAATTGAATGTATCAAACCTTGTCCGACAGCTTCACCTTCGAAATCCTGTTGAAAATAATAAATTGGTTTGTAATAATTATATTTATAATCATTCATAGATACAAATATATATATATATATATATTGCCACAAGAAAACAATACTGTATTATCAAGCCTTTGAAGTAAACGATCAGCAATTGCAGTGTTCGTATTCGAACGGAAACCCGTTACATGAATTGAATAAAGAAATGTTGATTTAGACCATAAAATAGTGCAATAAATGTTAGTTCAAAATTTCTAACTTGACATTTTGTTGCCTCGCATAATGCAATGGAAATTATAGGCAACGTAAGTCTACTTACTGACAATTGCTGTTCTTCACCACTAATATTGGTGACCAGTAAGAATAATAAAGCAAAAATCATTACAGATCGCATGCTTGCTGTAAAGGCTGCAATTATAAATGATAGAACAATTAGTAAACAATAGTTCTATGTGTCTTCAAACGTGGACACGTCATTCAACAACGATCGTGTAATGTGCAATAAAAGTATATATCCACTTCGATTCGTATCAATGGTTTGTAGTAAATAATGCATACAGTTAATTATTCGATGGTTTCAGGCAGACTGGTGTGGTTGACTGGGTCTATGAACTTTTTTATTTGTTCATTTAGTATTTTTGTACATTGTCATGACAACACATACCAGTGGCATTCTTAACCAGGAAGCTTACAATGTATAATTGAGTTGTTGTATAATCGGGTGAAAATGTGTACAAGTCCTGGGTGAATTTCAATCAATTTCCTAACACGTTCAACAAATATATCGGAACATAACATCGTGAAATATCAGTAAGAGTTGAACAATAGGAGAGGTCAGACACAGGCATGGCGAGGTACCAACTTTTTCGACTACTATCCACTTCCCTTTTTTTATTTGATTATTCACGCATTTCGTTTGTCTACGTCCATTCATATTACAGTCTTGATTTGCTGAATTAAAAAGGGATCATGCGTAATGACGCATGCGCGGTTGCACAATGTATGTACATAGTGACATATTAAGAACTCCTCGAAGTATGTGAATTGGCCTCAATTAAAAACAATATGGGAATGTCAAACTGATTTCAACATGGACGTTTGTAAAATGATAATTGTAACACTAAGAATAAAAAAATGAATAATTAAACTGAATCAAATTATATATGAAAATTATACATTTTTAACCCGAAATATATGAAACCGTATTGATTTGTAGAAAAAAAAGAAATATTCGACAATAAGTGATTTAAAATATTCAAATATATGTAATCGTTGAAAGTTCTTGTAATTGAAGGACTATAATTCACTGATCCAGGGAATGTGATGTGAACGTAAATTGCGCTTTCTACAAATGCCTCGTTGCAGTATGGACAGGCTTAAAACATTCAATCAAAAATTCGATGACATGTTTTACATAATTCTACGAGCCTTTGCACAGACCGTCCTTGCTACCGTGTACATTTCTTCGATTATTAGCAGGCTCAGAGTCATTTACAATATACGTGTCTAGAGGCCCCGACTAAGCGCTTCGTAACTACATAAGTGGGTAATAATCAAAAGACTGTCGATTTAAAAAACATCCATATCTTTATCATTATTGCAATCCGAAATATTCAAGCGTCTACCATTTAAAATATATTGTGTTTGTGCCGAACGGTGGAATACGCGTGAACTAGCTGCGAAAGCAGCGTATCGGGTTTATTTTTCTTATAAACACCTATTTAGCTGCATGTATGAACTGTGAAAATATGTACTGTCAATAAAACAACTCTTGAACTATTCGAGTTACTCTAACCTGACAATAATTGGCAAACTAAATAATATCACGTCATTGGTAATGTCCGAATTCACACATACTTTCAATTTCATAGCTGTATCTAATTCCACTCTACTGATAATTTCTTTTTAACTTCCCGATGAATGGTTCTTATATGATTTCACGAAAGACAGCAGTGAGCAATATACTAAGTATTTATACAGTGCGAAAGGCAAATTGGTTATGAGATATTTCGACAAAAATAACACCCATGGAACACCCATGGAACATATTTTTAACAGCTATCTTGACTCAGTTGGTGTGATGCGCTTTTATTCTGTTGTCGATTATATAATTGACACTCATTTTTCGCCGAACACGTGTCGAAGGCTTGGTCAGAAATTATAGGTAATGAATTAATGACAGTGGAATTATTTAAAATAAGCGATATATTAACATTCAAGGCAGATATGTATTTTTCAAAAAAATTTATGATATTGGTATTACTGATGTATATGATGTAAATAATACAATTATAAATTAGTATGCATTAGTTCAGTGTGTGTTTAAATGTGGCCCAACAACGTGTAATGTGCAATGAAGTAATACATTACCCAATTCAATTGGATACGAGATGTGAAAACACTGCGATCCGTGTCAAAAAATGGTAGTAAATAATTCGATGGTTTCAGGCAGAGTGGTGTGATTGACAGGGTGTATGAGCTCTTTTATTTTTATATTTAGTAATTTTGTATATTGTCATGACAACACCTACCAGTGGAACGTTTAACAAGTGAGCTTAGACTGTTTACTTGATGAGTGATTGTATAATCAGGTACAAATGTTGACTAGTCCTGGGTGAATTCGAATCAATTTCTCAACACTTTCAACAAATATATCGGAACAAAACATTGTGAAATATTAGTGAAGAGTTAAACATCGGGAGAGGTCAGACTCAGCATGGCGAGGTACCAACTTTTCGACTACTATCCTCTTCGCTTTTTTTATTTGATTATTCACGCATTTCGTTTGTCTACGTCCATTCATATTACAGTCTTGATTTGCTGAATTAAAAAGGGATCATGCGTAATGACGCATGCGCGGTTGCACAATGTATGTACATAGTGACATATTAAGAACTCCTCGAAGTAGGTGAATTGGCCTCAATTAAAAACAATATGGGAATGTCAAACTGATTTCAATATGGACGTTTGTAAAATGATAATTGTAACACTAAGAATAAAAAAATTGAATAATTAAATTAAATCAAATTATATATGAAAATTATACATTTTTAACCCGAAATATATGAAACCGTATTGATTTGTAAAAAAAAAGAAATATTCGACAATAAGTGATTTAAAATATTCAAATATATGTAATCGTTGAAAGTTCTTGTAATTGAAGGACTATAATTCACTGATCCAGGGAATGTGATGTGAACGTAAATTGCGCTTTCTACAAATGCCTCGTTGCAGTATGGACAGGCTTAAAACATTCAATCAAAAATTCGATGACATGTTTTACATAATTCTACGAGCCTTTGCACAGACCGTCCTTGCTACCGAGTACATTTCTTCGATTATTAGCAGGCTCAGAGTCATTTACAATATACGTGTCTAGAGGCCCCGAATTGCCACTGTATTCATAAGCGCCTTCTGTAAACTAACATTAAGTGGGTAATAATCAAAAGACTGACGATTTTAAAAAACATCCATAACTTTTATCATTATTTGTAAATTCCGAAATATTCAAGCGTCTACCACTTTTAAATATTATTCGTGTTTGTGCCGAGCCGTGGAATACGCGCAGAACGAGCTGCGAAAGCATTTGTGACTCTAAGTATTTTTTATTAAGTTCAATGGATTGATCGTCAAAATAAAACATTTTGTAAAATGTTATACTTGTAAATACGGTGGAATATCCGTAGTACGATGGGTAAGTAATGGCAACGAAACAACTGTTTTTTTTAGATAAAGCACTTGCAAGAAAGGCAAAAACAAAAAACATTCCTTAAAGAAATTGTCATTATTGGAAACCTCCCATAAAAGTAACCCAGTGAAAATTAATTGAAATTAAAAGTGGCGAGCTGAATACAGAGCACAATTATATTACAGAGGGGAATATTATTAGGTCGAGGACGGATATAAAAGCCCTGGAAAAAACAACCTTAATATATATTTTGTTATTACTTTGAGGCTACTTGTGCGTGGTTATGTTGTTCAAACATAAAATTATTTCTTCGATTGCAAATACATACAAACCTGGAGACCCGTCTCCCTGGTAAATGAGTACTATAATATTGCAACATTATATATTGCTTTGCGCATGGAAAAAGTTCTCTGGGACTCATTTCTGAGTTTCAACCGGCGGTCGTCAAAGATATATTGGTGATTGCGCTTGACTTGTAGATGGCATAGTTAGCGTTACAAAAGACAGTACCGTTCTTACTAGAATATTCGATTCAGTAGAATGGGATTAAACCTTTGGGGACTTAACGAAACACAATTTCGTGAATTCATTCGTTGGATCGGAGTTAACTTTTTATTGTAACATTTCCAGCTGCATTATGGACAACTGTTAATTCCATGAAGTATTTTGAAATTACACGGAGTGTCAGACAGGAGAACCCTCTTTCATGGGATTCAGTTTATGAGTGAGTTGGAACCTATTTTAATTTCAATTCAACAAAATAAGGTTAACCAGTGTATTGGAAAGAAATTACATCACAAATTGTCCATATGCGGACGATCGAACATTTGTCCAGGATTTGGGATCAGTGAGAAAATAATTGATTTTACTAGATCTAAATTTTCGGGCCGTCAGGTTAATAAGGCGGTTTATTTTTCTTATAAACACCTATTTAGCTGCATGTATAAACTGAGAAAATATGTATTGTCGATAAAACAACTCTTGAACTATTGGAGTTACTCTAAACTGACGTTAATTGGCAAACTAAATATTATCACGTCATTGGTAATGTCCGAATTCACATATACTTTCAATTTCATAGCTGTATCTAATTCCACTCTACTGATAATCTTTTTTTAACTTCCCGGTGAATGGTTCTCATATGATTTCACGAAAGACAGCAGTGAGCAATATACTAAGTATTTATACAGGGCGAAAGGCAAATTGGGTGATGAGATATTTCGACAATAATAAGACCCATGGAACATATTTTTAACAGCTATCTTGCGTCAGTTGGTGGAGCACGCTTTTATTCAGTTGTTAATTATATAATTGACACTCATTTTGCCACATTTTTCCCCGAACACGTGTCGAAGGCTTGGTCAGACATTAGAGGTAATGAATTAATGATAGTGGAATTATTTAAAATAAGCGATAAATTAACATTCAAGGCAGATATGTATTTTTCAAACAAATTTATGATATTGGTATTACTGATGTAAATGATGTAAAGAATACAATTATAAATTAGTATGCATTAGTTCAGTGTGTGTTTAAATGTGGCCCAACAACGTGTAATGTGCAATGAAGTAATACATTACCCAATTCAATTGGATACGAGATGTGAAAACACTGCGATCCGTGTCAAAGAATGGTAGTAAATAATTCGATGGTTTCAGGCAGAGTGGTGTGATT